TGTGTGTGTGTATATGTGTGTGTGTATGTGTGTGTGTGTGTGTGTGTGTGTGTGTGTGTGTGTGTGTGTGTGAGAGTGTACATGTGTGTTTGTATGTGTGTATGAGTGTGTATGTCTGTTTGTATGAATGTATGAGTGTGTACGTGTATTTGTATGTTTATATGAGTGTGCATGTGTGTTTGTATGTGTGTATGTGTGTATGTGTGTCTTTGAGCATAATTTATGTGTTTGTGTGTATAGGTGTGTATGTATGTGTGTGTTTGCTTCGCTGTTTCTTCCATCTCTACATTTTTTAAACACTATTCTATCAAAACGTTAGCTTAGTTGGTATCATGCTGGACTACATACAGTGTGGTTGGCCCGGGTTCGAAACCCAGACAGGGTATTTTAGAACTCGGGTCCTTCCGTTTGGCTCAGTACTATCGGAGACAGACGTTTTATTCGGAGGTCGATCCTTTTAAATCACCTAATAGTGTTGATGTGGGCGTAAAACCCATACAAGCAGAGCACAAACTATTGTGATTTTTGCTGACTCTCTATCAGTCCTTCAAGCAGTAAAAAATGACGATCATAAAAATCAAAACCTTACTCGTATTATCATCAGACAGCTGTTCAAATTTATTGAGGTCTAAATTTCCCACAAAAAACAACAAAATTATATTAATAAATAAAATAATAATTATTTCATTTCTGTGTCATCGGTAGCGTGTGTTTGAAAAACATTATTTTGTCGAACTTCAAAGTTTAAATTGAAAAAAAAATATTATCAGCAAAAAAATATTTTTGTCGAACTTCAAATTTTGAATTGAAAGAATTTTTTTAAAAAGCTTAAAAATGCTCGTACTTTAGGTACTATTACAGCTTTGAACAGACTGAAACATATTTTTCGCTCCCCTGAACAAATTTGTTTTCCGGGATTAGTACGTTTCAACAACTTGCTGATGGTATGTGTGGCATCGTGTTGAAATTAGGCTTACGTCATAATACTGAAAGCGACATTTTATCGAATGTTTTGCTTCTTTTTTCTGGGAAAGAATGGGGGAAATGGGGGGGGGGGGTCAAACCCTTATGTATCCATTAAAAACCCCATTCCTTCGTAGATTTTTACTGAACATCGTGACATTGATCAAAGACACACAGACGCACACCTGAAAATACAAATCTCCAGTTTTCAATGACACTCGCTCTTTGGAAGTCACCAAACTTTGGCGGACATTTTTTTAGTTTATTTTAAATCTGACACAAGGCGATCCTCATCTCCTTCAAAAGCAAATATCTCGCTTTCTGATCAAGATGGATGGGTATTTTTTTCAATCATAAGAAAGATAAATGACTGTATAAGTTTTAAGATGAAATAAATAATTCTACATACCCCAAAATTGTCAAGCGCCTGATTCCACAGAGGCGTGACACAAGCTGTTTAGCTTCTACCACCTGGAAACACTCCGTGGTGTCAACACACACACACACACACACACACACACACACACACACACACACACACACACACACACACACATACACACACACACACACACACACACACACACGCACACACTCATACACACGCACACACGCGCGCAACAAATAATATGTTCAAGAAAAAAGAGAGAGTAAGCATGTATACAAAATTACAAAGAAAAGTAAGTACAGCATTTCACTTCAAACAACACTGACCCCACCCCCTCACCTCCTTTGCCCCCACCTCTGGGCTTCTGACTCTTACTGCAGCCTTTCTACTGCTACTCCTTGGCTCCTCCTAACTGCTGTCTTTCTGCCACACCCCTGATCTTCTGGTAGGAAAGATCTACACCTAGCCTTCTCGGACAAGGGCGAAAAATCTCGGAGGGCCCGTGTGCAAGTTGCGCACGTTAAAGATCCCTTGGTGGTCTAAAATCGATAAGAGTAGGCTTCGGCCGCCACCCGGGGAAAAATTCAAAATTTCCTACCAACTGAAAATATTAGGTGTGTCCCGCGCGCTCATATGACCTAATGCAGTTGCGAGCGCCGTAAAACACTTTACAAAAACAAAACAATTCTAAGAACACAAAAATGACTTGGCGCTGTTTGAAGACAATAGCTGGAGACGCACCAAGACGGCCAAATATTCTTACAAATGGCACCAACCCATGTCCATATGTCCATACAAACTGAATTCTGTTTACCCTCGTTTTGACAGCCACGACGTCTCCCATCAGCTGACAACTGTCAAAGAGACGATTCAAAATGATCGCAGGGACGACAACAACAACAACACAGACCAAGGAAGGCGGTGGCCCTGGCGAAGAGCACGCTTTTCGGGGCTCCAAATATTTCGAACGGATAGGCTACCAAACACACACACACAACAACACAGACGAAGACTATGACAAGAGCAAGGAAATTTGTTTGGGTAGTGCTAATGAGGTCGGTGTCATATTTATGAATCGTCTGAAAGCTCACAAAGCGAGTCGACCCGATGTAGTAAAAAGGAAAATTATTAGAATTTGTTCTACTCAGTTATCTCCCATTTAAACTGAGATTTTCAGTAAGTCTTTGAAAGAACACTTAATACCACTCTCGTGGAAATACTCTGAAGTAATTCATGTCTCAAAGAAACAATCAATACAAAATTTGAATGACCTAAGACCTGTCGCTTTAACATCAGTCCTCATGAAATGTTTAGAAAAACCGGCTCTGAAAGAACGGAGGAAATCAACAGAAGACATACAAGATGACACGCAATTTCCTGTCTTGCCAAGAGGGGCGTGGAGGATGCCATTCTCGTGTTCTTAGGTCACAAACGCAAAGACACAACTCGAAATTATTGCAGGATACTTTTCGCTGATTTTTAAAAATCTGCCTTCAACATAATCAAACCTCACACAATGATTTCAAAATTAATTAATATGCATTTGGACAAGAACATTAGAGCTTGGATTCTTGAGTTCTTGACCAATCGCCCTCAATATGTTAAATTAAATAGTGTAAAATTCGACTGATATTCACGAACACTGGAGCGCCTCAAGGTTGTGTAATCTCCCCTGTCTTGTTTACACCTTACACTAACGACTGTACTTTTGATAGCAAAAACATCACACGAATAAAAATTGCGAATGAGTCCACTCTCCAAGGCCTTATAGCAACAAATGAGAATGAATATAGGGACGCTGTAAATGTATTTACAAATTGGTGTGATAACCACTCCCTTTTACTAAATGTAAAAAAGACAACGGAATTAATTGTAGACTTTAGAGTTAAAAAAGACCAATTGCAACCATTATTTTTTAAAGATGGGTAAGTGAAGGTGGTAAGCTCTTACAAGTATCTTGAAATAACAGTTGATAACAAGCTAGACCGGCTTCCCCACGCTGCACTAAGACTTGTGCAGGGAAAAATAAATCAAAGAGTGTTCTTTCTTAAAAATTAGGAAGTTTTCGTGCAGATAATAAGATTTTGTCTTTTTTATACCATTCTATGATTGAAACCGTGTTACTAAATTGTAGATTGAAAATATATGCTGCTGGAATGGGAATAGTAGGGTGCATGATAAAGAAAAATTGGACAGAACCATTGAGAAAGCCGTCAAGATCTTTGGACATTATTTTAATAGAACTGACGAAATGTATAAAATCAAAAGTTAAAAATCGGAGAGCTAGAGCCGACATGATTGAATGTTACAAGTATCTAACAGGAATTTACAACGTAACGGGAGATATTTTACCCCGTGATTTTCACTCTAACACCAGGGGACACAGTCTAAAATTGAAAAAAAAAACATGTGAAAACAGCAGTCCGCCAAAACTTCTTCAGCGTACGCACAGTTAACGCTTGGAATTCCCTTCCGGAAAATGTGGTGTCTGCACCATCCTTGAATGCTTTCAAGAATAGGATTGACATGGTCTGGAAGGAACATAAATTCTCTATGAACCTAGATTGGTTTCACGCTGCCAGATCCATGTCCCATGAGCACTAACCTACAGATACCAGAGTCTGAAAACAACGTGCAAGAACGAATAAGCAACGAAAGCAACGAACGGCTGATAGGCGACTAGCCTGACCACAGCCGTACTTCATACTACTACTACTACTACAAACAACCCATCACACCCCCTTTCCACGCAAATGGGAAGACCACTCAGCGCAGATATTGTACCTCTAAAGGGAAAGAAAGTAAGGTATAAAATACGGGTTTTTTTACCATCGGCTAGTATAAGGCTGCTGTCAGACAAAAAACCCATTAATGTCTATTGCATCCATATAAATATAAAGGTCTTGTAATTGCATTCCTGCATGGGGTTGAATCTGATGTGATATGTACATTTTGTCAGCTTTACTTTTCTTTTTATATTGAATTTTAGTGAGAGTCAAACATAATTTAATTTTTATGTATACCTGAATGTGTTTTTATGATTCTGTACAGAAAAAGAATAATTTCCCTCTAAGACAATAAAGTATTATCTTATCTTATGCACGCTTATACATACATAAACACATACATCCACATACACACATACACACACATTCAAATCCACATGGCATTATAGATAAGTGCTCTGGTGTGGCTTACTCGTTCTTTCCAATCAAACGTCCATCGTTGTTATTCCCTCCCCACCCCCCTTCTTTTCGTAGTTGTATGTTACTCTCTTGTAACACCTCCAATCTTTGGATAGGCACCTATGAAACCTAATAGTGTTGCGAGTTCCTTAAAACTCTTACTAAAAAACAAAACAAAACAAAACACACACATAAAAACATTTTAAACCCAAATTTCCTGACGAAGATCACTAAAATGTACCTTGTTTATATATTTGAAAAAAATATTCGTAACAAACAAGTATCAACAAGTGCTCAGAATGGAATCGATCCCATCCCAATCACATATTATCACGGCGGACGATACCAGTCGCGCAGACCTCAGTTAGTGGTCCAAAGGTCCTTTCATTTCAGTTCACACACAGTGTGACAGCGCAGCGTGAGATTGCAATACAAGGAACTCCGGTCCCACGAGAGGTATTTAATGTGGTGAGGTGAGGGTGGTGTGGAGTGGGGAGTTTGGCATTTGTGTGACAAGCGTGGTGCTCTGAACTTCCAGCTCAGAGACGGGTGCAGGGAATACCTCTGGACCAGGTAGGAATAAACATAATAATATGTTAGGCAGCGTGGTGGAATCAGGCTCTCGTAAAAAAAATCAAAGTGAAGAAACTTGCATTTTTTCTGCAGGTTTTAGCATTTTTATCAAATGTTTGTTCTTTGGCTCATCACCTTTCAAGCCCATTAAAGAACTCATTTCTTTGTGGATTTTTCTGAAAGACGTTGATTAAAGACACACAAAAATTTTCAGTAACCACGGACTCATAAGTTAAGGAAATAACTAATCTTTGGCGGCCATTTTCTCACTAATTTTTCCTCTGAAAACAGCTGACCCCCACTACATTCATTCGCCAATATCTCGACTTGTATTCAAGATAAATGGATATAATTTGTTTCCTCCAAATAAAGACAAGTGAACAAGCTTGAAGATGATACCAATAACTCTACATGCCCAAAAATTGACGAGAGCCTGATTCAACCACGCTGCCTCACATATGTATTTTTGTTTTAGTTTTAGTTAACGTTTTACTGCACTAGCAACACAATAAGGTAATATAAGTGCCGAAGATGATAGATTAAGATGTTACAAGAGAGTATGAAATATAATAAACAAAAAAAGATGGAGGAGAGATAAAGACGATAGATATTTGATAGGAAAAAAAGAAGTAAACCACACCAGGGCACCCTCCAGCTATCTGCAGGTTGGACATTTGGATTACGTCAAATAACAATAACAATATTAATGATAATGATAATAATAATAATTATAATAACAACAACAATAATAATAATAATGATAATAATAA